CACTTTAAGCCTGGTCTACACGAGCAAGTTTTATGTGGCAAATACTTTTGATCGTGTAGATGGCACAGTAAATATTTGTCAGTGGTTCAAAGTTTAGTGCGCCAGTAATGACTTTGGAAAGCAGAGATACGCAAAAACAAGGCGAGGCTGGGTAGTTGTTCCCCAAAAATATGGCGCTTACGAACATATTTGCCACATTTCTTTTGACGAGTCGTCTACACGAGCAATGTTTGTATGTGATAACTTTAATTTGTCACATAAAAGCTAACACGCCAGCTTTTCAGCACATGATATATTTGTCACATAAAAATTGGCCAATTTCCTTATCTACGCGAGCAAATGAGAATTGTCACATAAACCTTGCACGTGTAGACGAGGCTTTGGACAAGTTGGTAATTTACAATAACTGTCTAATTCCTCGCGCGTTGATTGGCTCATTTTTATCATCAATAAGAGTACAGACGGATAAAATTTTAATTTACGCAAGCTTTCAAGTTCAACTTTCAGCTGTCAAACTGTCAACTTTTTAACCAATGACATTTTATGAACTTTTTCTAAGTAGACAATCAAAAAGCGAGAAAAGCTATCAGGGAGTTTAAGAAAACCACGACGGCAACGGCAACGGGAACGTCGCTAAACAAAAGATTTAACTAGGAGAACAATGGCTGTCCACGTGCGTTATAACTCTTGGTACATTTCTTTACCGTCCCCGGCAAAACAACAACGTGAAATGACGAAATTCTGCGTTGTCTGGAGAACGTGAACCACGACGGCTACTTTTTAAAATTTTTATTTCAAGTTTATCGCTGTGTCCCAGATTCAGTTTCGTGAAAGTTTTGTCAGTGATAAACAAAGTAAAGGACTGTTAGAGCATCGCGTGCTTCGTAGGGAAAATATAAAGTCATTTTTTAATCGACGTTGTCCTCGGCGTCGCCGTCGTGGTTATTTAAACTCCCTATTGACAATGTTCGCGTCATTTTGAACAAAATTCACTTATCTTTGTTTACGACAAGTTTACGGCGTCTTTTCCCTTCATTTATTCCCGGCATTTGACCATTTTGGGGTCTTGTCATTGTAAAAAACAAACTGACGTCAGTTTTTTTAGTTTCATTCCACCAGTACTTTCAAAAAATGATTTTTTTTTTCGACATTTGGTGTTGTTAGAAATTTTTTTTTTTGAGACGATATTTAAAACAGTCGCACGGACGTTTGCGAAACGATGTAAATAACCTTGGTACAAAGTGTTTGTCCACTTGCTAAATCGAACTTCTGGTGGATTCCTTCTCAAACCCATCAAGTTTAAACAGAAGCATATGGTTTAAACAAAGGAAATCATGAACGTGTTAATTC